GTTGGACACTCTTGGAAGATGAACTTCAAAGTCTTCTCATTCCTGTCAAATCTCTTGCAAATTGTATTAGTGTTCAGAGCTAAATTAAAGACAAAACAGTGGCGCTTAACAATATTCCCATTAGTACCCTACATAGTCGCCTAGGATAGCTTACTAGCAGCGTTAAAGAACATCGATGTCCTCTCGGTACCTAATCTGCAAGTTTTCGTTTAATTTTTCTTTAGTATATTTTTGGCCACATGCATATCTCAATCTCAACGGGAACTCCCAATCCAATTTCCTTTACAACATTTTGTAAAGTTGTGTCTTTCGATCGCCCTCACCTGTAAGCATTTTGCGCTTTTGAAAGTGCGTCTATTTCCACAGGTTCTTCTGAAGAAATGATGACAGAGCCGAATGAGCGCATGAAAAGTTCCGCCTGCCTTCGTCAAGAAAAGAACATTAAACGACCTTCTGACATAAGAATATATTATATGTAGATTTGGTTGTTTGTACTGAGTAAAGGAGTCGTGGATGGCGCCAAGTGATTTGTCGTAAGCATTTCTTATGAACCCTCCTCACTTTGAACACATTCAATATCGTCCTTTTGAATGAGACTCTGAGTTAAAGAACCCCTGTACAGGATTTTCCTTAGCCAGGTTGTATTGCTGAAGCTTGAAGTTGTATTCCAATAGTTTCTCATTTTTATCATCTTTATCCTCGTTTCCCTCACACGTTTTCTAAAAATGGCAGATCAGGGGTTACAACAAGACTCCTTCTTTTGGTCCCTCTTAGGGTACAAGCCTGCTTGTAAACGGGAAATATTTTAAAAGGCGATCGCTCATACTTTCCAGATGATTTATGCAGAAGCATCCTTCAAAAATTTATTAATAGAGATAGTGAGGCCTTATATTGAGGCTAAGAAATGTTTCTCTTAGGTTATACTAAATGTTTTTTATTTATTTATTAAGAGATTATTATTTAGAATTTTTTATAATTTCAATTAAGCTTTTACATATCTTTAAAAATATCGCAATGCGGAGCCCATTTGAACTTAAAATTCCGAATTGTTTTCATTACTCTACACAAATTCCACTCAAGGTGTAGAATTTCTCAGCACACCACAGAATTGGATCCACTTTAAAAATATACATTGCGCATAATTTAGCGTTTTGAATATCAATCAATTTGCATACTGAATAAATAAATATTTATGTGGCACTTATTTAGACTACGCTGCTATTTTAGGCAAGGCAAGCCAGCAAGCAGGCAGTGGCTTCTGGCCATAAACTTAAATTTGCTAAAATCGATTAATTTGGTAAGAAATTTTTGGTTATCGGCAAGTGCCACTACAGGGAAAGTGTACATATGTAACTTAAGAATATGAAAGGCCCTTATGATTTGCATGTATGTAGTATGTACATATGTGTGTAGGCCACAAGGCCTTCGCTTTGCATACCGCCTGTTGCAGTCTCACCAACAACTTTCTGAATTCTATGCAGTTACGTTTTTTTTTTTCATTTTAGCGAAGATGTGGTGTGTGTGAGGTAGGGCCTTTCTATATTAAGGTAACGATATGTATGTGTGTATGTATGCTTGCTTGCCTGCCTGCCAGTCAAAGAGGATGCTTGACGTTTCACAACTGTTGCAACAACTTCCGTTTCCTGTTGCCCTCCATTTACACGCACGTCACACACCGACACGCACAAAGCTATACATTTCACTAGTCCTTGCTGCTCCCAAAGCGGCATTTAGGAAGTGTTTATTTACATAAAGCAATTTGGACAACTTTCTGCTGCGCACATTGCCGCTGCCACAGCCACAGCCATTGCCATTGCCAATTTAGTGGCACAATACTACCCATAAGAGGTGCAGCCGCAAGCAGCGTCGGAGCTGCCAACTAATAGCACCGCGGAGATTTTCTTGCCGGTTTGTTGGTTTGTGTTGCCTTTGGTACCGCCGGCGTTGCTTGGTTATGCGCCGAGCAGTTCGGTTAGTGGCACAGTTATTAGTGTCAAAGGATGTAAAAACGCACAAGAAAATTTGCGCAAAACCCAGAAGAATGATAGAAAAAGCAATATGAAAGGAAAAGTAAACAAGAAGAATTGTTGAACAGTGTCACGTCTTCAGCGTCTGTCTTACGTTGCGAAAGCGAGGGCAATTGTTGGATCGTGTTAACAAATATGCACGAAGAAACGAAAGCAAAATAAAAAAAATTAAAAGTAAGCAGTATCAACAACAACAACTGCAGTTAAATCGACAAGTCAAAATGGAATTTTTGCAGAGGACCCATGAAATTAGAAATAGTAGTAAATGGACTTTATTTGCAGTTATTGCCTTATATTTGATGCAAAAAATTTAGTCTTGGGCCTTCCGAATATTGTTCCACGACCAAGTGCCAATTAATTGTGAACTTGTCTGCCATCTTTGAAAAATCGTCTGCCCCAGCCTCTGCTCAACACAGAACCACAATTACTATCATATTTAAAGATTACCATACATATTTTGGTGGAAATAATTTTATGATCTAATTTACTTTTTATTATTTCCTCACTGTTAAACTGCGACTACGGAAACGCAAATAGAAAGTTGTTGCATTACTGCAATTCCGGGTGGACAAACGAGCGCGCGGCAAAGGCGAGCGAAAACTTTGACATCCAGCGGAGGGTAGTCGGAGGCGTACATAAACGGCGCGAGGTGACAGAGCAAGACCAAGCAAGGGCAAAGGCAAGCAGGCAAAAGATGCGCAAATAAAACTTTTGCACTTAAAATGGGAAAAGGGAGTAGCAACCTTGTTGCTTATTAAAATAATATATTCGTTTATGTATGTAGGTAAAAGTTTATTTGCGAAGTGCAATAAATGCATAATTTTACCGCTATGCAAATAGTGGAAAACTTTTTCTTACAAAAACTGAGTGTTTATATAAGGAAAATATGGTTATTTTAATTTTAAGAAGCAATGATGTTTATTGCAGGCATTTTCATTGCCAAGTTGCAACTCTTCTTTTGTACTTCTGGATTTTTCTACTACCAACAAAAAAGGAGCAAATATGCATTTACTCCTGCTGTGTAATAACGAAATCAAACTACGCCACAGCAGTTACAGAGATTTGTGAAATAATTACCACTTCTTTAAAATACATTACGAAAAATTTACTGGGATTGGGTGAATAAAAATTGGTAAAAAAAAATAGATTTCGTCCTTTAATAACATTTCTGCTAGAAATGCCAATTGTTACCCTATCACACCAGTTAACGAACTATCCATTCTTCACACGCTGTGGCTAAAGTAAAACTATTTATAGAATTAGGAGAGGGGGGGGGGGGGGGGTTGTTAGATTAGGTGGCTGTCCTGTGATGGGCTCTCATTTAGCGTTTCTTATATTGTCCGTTGTGTTATCACCGAGTTGATTTTTCCTGGAATAATAACTGAAGGTAATTCAAATGAAGCTGTTAGGAAAGGTGCTAGGTGCCCAAACTAAAGTTCCAGATGCTTTATGTTTAATAGGAAATGCTGGGCGCTTTCTTCGCTACCTTCTAGTTCTATTATATGGGAGTCATATTCTCTCTGCGTGTTTGACTATGGGCCAGTGGCCCGTTTTTTACAACAACAATTTTAAATATTTCTACCTTTGATCTATTAAGCAGGTCTTGTGTCTTCGTCCTGTTATAGTCAGGCCAGAGTTCCTTGGCTATTTTGCGAGTTATTTTAGCTGATCACCTTTGCCTTGCCAGTCTAAGAAACTAACTTCTCCGGGGGGCATCCCAGTGCAACGGCCGTGGATTTTTCCAAGGAGGCTTCTGCCTTCTAACGCCATCCGGCTCTGCGAATTTGGAAGGGGAGAAGTTCCTTATAACATACAAGATGTTTTTCCAGCTTACAAGCGAGTCCAACGACCTGCTGCTTGTTGAACCTGAAGCAAATGGACCCGGATCGAAGCAAGGGAAGTACGATTTGACTAGTGTCTGTAAGGAATCTTTGACTGATTTTGTCGACACAACATTATCTTTGTCAACAGGGCAGCTGAGAGGCATTCAATTTCTGTTATCCTCCAACAGTTGCAGCACTGCACAGAAGACGTATTACTCTGGGTGCTCTATGAACCGAGTATGAGACCATCTGTCTAAGAATAGTTCAAAGATTTACACAGGGACTCCTATGACTTCTTTGCCCGAAAAAATGAACTTAAGGATGATTTGCTTAGCAAATTAATCAGACATGCAGTTTCTCGCAATGCATCTGTGTTCTGGGAACCCAGTCAGCTTAATTTGGAAATAATCCGATGCAATTGGGCGAGACCTTTGGCATTCTCCGACCAGTTCCGACCGAACCATGAGCGATATAAGAGCCCTGATAGCCGCTTGACCGTGGAATCCCTCATAGAACATAACTTCTCCAAATCTGATCTACAGTTTTGTTCGATCCGTGAAGAATTTAATTGGACCTATTTATTCAAACTTCAGGGGGATATGTATAGAGAAGGAAACAGGTGGAGCCAGCCTCGGCACACTCTTGAACCGTTTCTTCGGGTATGAAGCTTAATTTCCAACGACTGCCGAGTACTTTTGCATTGGGCTGGAGAGGAAGCAGTGTACTGGCTGGGAGTTTCAGGCAGAGCCTTTTAATTTACGTGGGCACATATTTTATTTTTTATTTTTTTCACTTTTATATATTTTTTTTTTGTTTTTATGTATGTTACCGCATAACTTTGGACCACGTCAACAGATTTCGATAATTATTTTTGCATCGGAAAGGGAGTGGCAGTTTTTGAGGGAGAAAAAAATTCGTTGAAAAGATAATTTCTGCTTGTAAGATAAAGGTTATTGCGAAAGAACATTTTTTCCAAAATTGTTTTAGACTTTGGCAGAGTGTGAGACTGACGAACACTTTGTTAGAATATATGAACTTAGGTAGTACATCTGCTCCTAAATCATTACCAACATTTTTACATTTTCTTTCCTAATAAAAGCATCGTTTATTAAATTTTCACTACTAAATATTTTCAACTATTTCTTTTCAGTCATTATCCTGTTCGAAGGCGACATGCATGAGCAGCGTTATGGCGCTTGGGACGGCGCCAGTAGAAGCGCGCAAACCCGATGTGGTATTGGAACATGCCAAGGATTTTTTGGACCAATATTTCACATCGATAAAGAGGTAGGCTGCGGGAATACGATCGTAAATTAATACTGAGTATTTAGGACATTTTTTTTATAAGTCTTTCAAATCTATAAGCCTATAAGTAGAAAAATTATGTTGGAATCGCCGGTCAGCTTAAGATTAGACACATAGATAAATGCACGGGCAAGTCAGAACAAGAGACACTGCGACCTAGAAATTCTTTTGTATAGCTAAAGTGAGTTACTAACCCAGTATTCCCAATACACGCTCGGCTTTCCAAATGAATCCTAAAAGGGCCTTGGTAGTCGAATTCCTTATTTCTAAGGTTTTGGTAAATGAAGCTTTAAAGCAAGTTAATCTTTGTTTAGCCAAGGCTGGAAATTCACAAAAAATTTGTTCGTAAGCTTCCTCGTCCTCAAGGCATTCCCACCCTCTGGCCCTGAAAGAATACTGAAACGAATAGAAGTGTGGAACAACAGGGGATTTTGACAATGTGATGAACCCACAAACTACAACAACAAAAACAAAATTCCCAAATCCCATTTCTTCAGATTTGATAATAGGAAATGGTCAGAGGGATAGATTAAATAAAAATAAAATAACACAGCTTGCTAAAAAAGGGCAGTGATCTACTAACATACAGTAGTTGTTAGTTGATATTAGTTTAAGGTACTTGTATACACTACGATCAGAAGAGAGAGATTGCCCCGTCATGCTTATTTCGAGCTCCGTCTACATTCATACTTTCATTTTTACAATATTTATAAATTTTTTCCATTTTATTAATTTTCAGGGCTTCAAGTGTGGCTCATGAAACGCGCTGGAAACAGGTGCGCCAGAGTATCGAATCCAACGGTTCTTATCAACTTACCGAAACAGAATTGATTTATGGCGCGAAATTGGCCTGGCGCAACTCGTCGCGATGCATTGGCCGCATACAATGGTCTAAATTGCAGGTAAAAGCAAAAATTCATCAAAATTAATTTATATTATATGTCACTAAAATATTTAAAATCTTTACTAGCGTTTTTTTATTATGCGTTTACAAATTTTTGTTACGAGAGCATTTAGTGTCGGTGACATTAAACAAATTCATAATTAAATTATTTGATGAATGAAAACTGGTAGGCAGATGGGCGAGGTGAAGTGTTTGACATGTTAACACGCAAAGCTGACAAAACACAGACGTTGAGTGTACACACAGCTACGCAAGCATTTAAAATACGCGCCGTAGAGCAGCAGCCGTTTGCGGCCATTGATAACTGAATGAAAAATTTCATTAAAAAGTTTACTTTCTCTATGTGCAACTAGTTATTTCGCGCTTCAGAGCCAGCGGCAGTCTACTTGAAATAAATGAGTTGTGTATAAATGCATAAATATTTATACCACTGCTGCCAAAAGTTTAGAATATACCAACATTCATCATTTGAACATTAGGATGCACCTGCATCTATATAAAAAATATTAAAAATTATTTATTTTATTTTAAGATTTTCGCAAAAACATTTTTCAGAGATATTAAGATTTACGTGATTTGAAGATATCTCCAAAAATCTCATTATTTTGATTCCGTTGATAAAGTGTTCAAACATTTTTATGCAGACCTTTTAAGTTTCAACTCTCCAATTACCTCAGGCTATTTTTGGGAAAATTTTTTTTTAAAACTAGTTTTATTTATAAAAAATTAAATTCTTGGAGATCTTTTCAATCGGTCGCAAATCTTAATATTTTTCCGAAATATTTTGGCTTCCGCCTTTAAACAGCGATTTTTTTTTTTTTGAGGAGGCACGCTAATATACATATGTATGTTCGTATATATGTTTGATTGTGGACTTAGATGCCAGCATATTTGATTTAGGTATCTCCGTTTATGCTTTGTACACAGTACGTCAAGCTTTTGTTTGTATGTCTGTTTGCTTTTGTAAACATAAACTATAAACTTGGGCAAAAAGTTTGGTCAATTTTGTTCTTGTTTCAAAGTCGGGAAAAATTCGTACAATAAATTGTTGTAGAAAAAATGCATACATTACATACGTATAGTAAAATTATATTAAACGCATGGAATTGAAAACAGAAACCAAACATGAAACGAAATGCAAAAGTTTAAATTGACTTAAATATTCAAAAATCTCTCGCTCCGGAAGCACACTCGGCAAGAAAATGCTCTAAAGCTCCCTTTTATGTATGCATGTAAATACATATATGTATGTATGTGTGTAATTCGGATTTTTAGAGAAAGGGATAATCTCTGTGTCAAAAAAATTAAATGTAGAAGGTATCACAGCCAAGGTAGCAAAAAAAGAAAAACTCGGCCCGTACAACATTTTTTCTGTGTGGGTTTTAATTGGAAGCCATCGCATAATGGCTGAGAGATCTTAATTCTTATTTCGTTTCACACTCATGTGTCCCATAGCGAGCAAGATGTTAGGACATCCTCGACTTTTCGGAATAAAAGCTTTGAAAAGCTTGTGGTTTGGTATGATGAAGAGTGGGTTAGGGCCACAAATCCTCTAGCACCACGTTCAGCGGTTGGAGCGGATTCAGCTCTTTTGACATTTTAGGTGAAGAGTTTCTTCAAATGCATAATGCTTTCGAGGTTGTTCCAGCGCCTTTCCTATATCAAATCAGTGTACTAGGGCCCGTCAAATTTTCTTAAGCACCCTTCATACGCTAGCATTTAAATTAATGTTCCTCTACCAGAACGTTAAGTAATTTGTGGTACTAAAGGAGAGCAATCTTTGAAGGGAGCTATTTACATATCGCCTTTAGAATATATTGACATTCGTAACTTGTCTAAATTGTTATGACTCGCACCGCTTCAAAGATTGTATTGAGCTCGCCGTAGAACACTATGGCATCTTTGCCTAGAGGGAGGAGTGGACTAGGGTGCAAGTCCGTGTAACTGGTTTATTTTCCGCATTGCTGTTTTGCTATCTCGTTATAAGGATTTTTTTTTGTCTTTTTTGTAGCCGTGATTTTATAGATGTATGAAGAACCCAAGATATTGGACTTCATCCTTTAAGGGAATCTCAGTGCCATTGATTTTAATTGAAGGAAAGTTTACGTTGAGCGGAAATATAACGGCCTTGTTTGGTTTAAACGACAGCCGTTCTTGCCTGAGCCAGTTTAAAAGTGATCATCATAGAGCATCCTGCATCAAGTCCCTAAAGGCCCTTTCGTGTTTAACTTTGGTAATTACGGATATCTCATCCAGATAGCGTCTTGCTTCGAGAGTCTGAAAGTGGTCATAGCGAAAGTATAGCGAAAGTATGGGAGATAAGACCCTTTATAACAACGCATGACGAGCTCTACATAGCCTAGGTCCGCTATGATCCGCTTTTGGCTCAACATATTGTGGCCTTGTGCCCTTGTTTGAAAGCACTAGTTCTAGTGCCTTTAAATGCATAGTTTGTGCAAAACTCCTGAAAATTCAGCAATTTTTCATTCAAAATTTGAACTTTTTAATCAGATTTTTTAGAATTTTTTTGAGTATGCAGTTTTGCAGTCCATTAAATTCTAGTAAAATAAATAAAAATTCGGAGCAAGTCAAAAATCGCATTGATTTTTCAGATGTTTTTTTTGTTGAAGATGTTTTGCATTTTTTTATATATGTAAAGTACTTTCGAAGAAAATTTTTTGTATGTAACTGACTGCGTGAAAAAATTTGCCAAAAATCAGCGGTAATTCCTAGCTACTTAAAACTTGTACTTTATTATAATAGAATTGATTGGGCTAAAGTTTAAAATTTGCACGAAAATTTGCTGAATTTGCGCAAGTTTTTCACAAAGTTTAGAAATTGCATTTTTATGCTTTTTTTTGTGAAATGAACCATATTTTTATATAAAATTGGGGGAAAAATATTATAATAACAATTGTTGCATATATTGTGAAAAATTTGCTGTGCCAATACTTTGTTTCGGCAGTGTATGTATGTATGTCAAGATGCTAACGTCCGTAGCATTGATTTCATAATAGATTTTTAAGCAAAACAACTGAAAGCAAAACACACATTCCACATTCGTCTGGCCGATCAAGCATTTTCCTTTTCCTTTATCATTCTGTTATTATATTTTCCTCTTTCCCTCCTTTACTCCCCATTACACACTACCTAGGCGCGACCATCGTTTCGTATTTCTGTGTACATTGACACCTTTTTCAATTATTCCACTCGGCTGAATCAATACACAGTCTCAATTTCAAGTGAATTTCATGGCTATTTCCGATTCATATTTAACAGGTAGTTGATGAAAAGTTGAAAATAAAAAAAAGCTGTTATTAAAACGTCGGCATCTATTGGAATATATCTACACTGAGAGAAAAAATTTAGAATAAAAAAAACGTACCAAGTTTGAAAAAAATACGTATATGAAAGACCACCAAACCAACTCGTAACAAATTTTTGTATTTAGTATCGAAATATTCAATTCAAATAAGTCCATATTAAAATGAACCGTTTTGCAACTCACGGATTCTTTTTCATGATTAAGATACCAAAAAAAAATTTATTTATATGCTGTCTGCTATGGGATTAGAACCCTGATCCTCTGGAAATTGGCAAATGTGGCAAGCATCTTTGCGCACAGAGCTACAGCCAGACATGTAATGTAGTGTTTTCAAATGATGAGTTTGAGTATTATTTTTAAATACGAATATTTTAAAACGATAATCAAAGAAAAAATATTCACTTTTACTATGCATTATTTCCCTCAGTGAATTCATAACGTTTTTCTTAATATTGCAACGCGTTTTTTCACTCAGTGTATGTACATATGTTGTTATGGCTGTTTCTCATCTCTGTGTGTATGTATTGTTGACAGTTTTTTGCACTGTATAAGAAAAAAACAAAAATGGCGACCGTCTCCAAAGGGTTAAAGTCAGACACAACAATGTTTTGAGTTTCAAGTGGCCACTCTATTACTTCTTGGCCATACGAATTTTACACCTACTTCTACTTTTTCCTAACTTTACAACTTTTGATGCCTCAAGTGGTGAAAGTTTTCGCCCACTTTGTCGCCTAGATAGCACATATACATTCATTTGTATGTTAGAAATTCCTTTTTTTCATACCTGCCTTAAGCGGTTTGTGATTAGACTCTTATTTACTTGAGTACATTCGCTTGCGCTTGAAGTGATTTCCTTAATTAAGTTCACACTTGAGCTAAATTTAAAGTGTGTCCTTGCTGATGGTGTTTAGAGCAACATTTACTACTGTTTTTTGTTTTTTCTTTATACGAGTGGTCTGTGCTTCATCCCGCTTCACTTATACTCGTTCTTATACTCTAAAGTGTGTGGTCACTCGAAAATCATGGCGTGAAATTGAAATTTCAATCTCATAAATAGGCAAGCATGTCGGTATGAGTACCTTACCAATAAACACACAAAAACGGGTTCATAAATAATTTAGTGACGAGAAATAGCCTCAATATTTTTATTGCAATATTTTGAGCAATTTTTTTTAAATGAATATAAGCATTATTACTTTATACATTCATAAAATATGGGCTTTCCTGAATACTTATGTGTAAAATGCAAATTGCAGCATAACTGCTTTTTATCAAATTAATTTTGCTTAAAATTTTGTATACATACATACATAAATTCATTTCCGACCACTTGTTGCTCGAATTATAGCAGATTGTACGACCGCAAAATATTTTTTTTTTCAAATATGCAAAGATATGCATGTATATACACTAGGATGGTCCAAAAATACACATGGAAAAGTAAAGTCGGAACTTTTGTGCTCTCACCCCCAGGATTGTTCGATACCGAAAAATATACCCCTATTTTTAACCGACTTCCGAAAAAGGATTTTTTTTAATGTATGTTACCGCATAACTTTGGACCACGCCGACCGATTTCGATAATTCTTTTTGCATCGGAAAGGTAGTGTCTCATACCCATGTGGTTTAGATCCGATCATTGGATTGTGAAATATTTATATATATATATATAT